TATGTCGTGTCATTTAATCTTCATAACAATTCTATGAGTTAAATTGCCTTGCCCAGGCTGGGCACAGTGGTTCATGCCTGTAACCCCAGCATTTTGAGAGACTGAGGCAGGTGGATCACTTGAGCTCAGGAGTTCAAGATCAGCCTGGGCAACATGGCAAAACCCCATCTCTACAAAAATTAGCCTGGTATGGTAGTGCATGCCTGTAGTCCCTGCTACTCAGGAGGCTGAGGTGAGAGAATCTCTTGAACCGAGGAGGTCAGGGCCACAGTGAGTGAAGATAGCACCACTGCACACCAACCTGGGCAAAAGAGCAAGATCCTGCCTCAAAAAAATAAATAAATAAATAAATTGGCTTACTCCCCTTTACAGATGAAGATATTAAAGTTCAGAGAGGAACAAATGTGTTCTTTTTTGGAAAGGAGCCATGAAAGCAAATCCAAATAGAATCTCAAGGCCACTCCTACGGTGACAGATCACGTGCCCCCCTCTCACCCTCCCCATGCCACTAGACTGAAAGGAAGCCAGCAACAGCCTGTTACAGGTGATCCCAACTACCCCATCACAAATGGAGATTTCCATTAGAAAGTCAATACAGGGGAAGGGACAATAGAGGTCAAAGAGTCAGCTTCATTTGCCTTGCATGCAACTGTGGAATGTGTTTTTGCAAAATCTCCCCTGGGGATTCTCAGTTGTGCCCAAGTAGGAACTTCTGTACTAGATTAGGCAGCCTCCCGTCAATGGGTCTGAGACAAAAACTCTGCTTCATACCAGGAGTCCTGCGAATCACCTGACTCCAAGTGAAGTTCTGTCCACCAAAGATACATAGCTGACAAGACATTCAATTCAGGAGCCCTTTCTGGAGGACAGGCAAACGCCTCCAAACTAGATGGAACTACCCATCTCAAGTGAGCTAAATTGCAATCAAAACAAAACTCTACCCTTGGCTTTATCACTGTGAGACACAGCCATAAAAGAACCCCTTCTAATTATTTTTTGCAGAATTGCTATTAAATGATTTGCAGAGTATGTTGAATAGTGGCATGCAAAAATGTTACATCCAAGTCCTAACCCCTGGTACCTATGAATGTGACTTTATTTACTGGAAATGAGGTCTTGGCAAATGGAATTAAACTAAAGATCTCAAGATGAGATCATCTTGGATTTAGGCTGGGCCCTTGATCCAATGACTGATGTCCTTATAAGAGGAAGCAGAGGGAGTTTTGAGACACAAAGACACAGAAGAGAAAGCTATATGAAGATAGAGGCTGAAATTGAAGTGATGCAACCCAGGGAACGCCAAGGATTGCCTGCAGCCACCAAGAGCTGAGAGAGAGGCATGGAATGGAGTCTCCCTCACAGCCCCCAGAAGGAACCAACCCTGACAACACCTTGATTTTGGACCTCTGACCTCCAGAAATGTGAAAAAATAAATTTCTGTTGTTTTAAACCACCAAATTTGCTGTCAATTGTTATAGTAGCCCTAGGAAGCTAATACATCTTATGCATTACGTCACAGTTCATATCAGGGACTAGACAACAAATTTCCTTCTAGAATTCAGTATGCAGAAGCAGCATGTGTCTCCTGATAAACACACAAAGAGCAGTCGGATTGTAACTTGACAATTTCACACTTTTTTGTCAAAAAAATCAGATAAAAACTAGGGCTCAAGTTCAGTGATTTCCCATCTTGAATTCTTGCCATAAATGTCTCCTTGCTTTTCTGTTTCTGTTCTCTCTTTCATTTTGAATTTTATTTTTAGTTCGCTTGCTGTGCACTATGTTATATTATAAATCACCTAAAATCCCTTTTGAACAGAGATGGCTACAAAATTATAAATAATAGCAGAGTGACTGAAAGAGTGAGCTCAAGAATCAAACTTCCTAGGTTCAAATACCAGCTCCACAACTTAGGAGTTAGATGACTGTGTGGGCAGCCCATGCCTCAGTTTCCTCAGCTGTCACATGGGAATAATATCAGTATTGTTCTATAGGGCTGCTGCAAAGGATTAAATAAGTTAACAAATACATGCAAAGCACTTAGAACAATACATGACATCTAAAAAGTATTCATTTTCCAAATGTTAGCTATTACGATTGTCTGTGTTACTGCCTTAGTTACAGTGCTCTCCTGCAGCTTCATTGCCTTCAGGATGAAGTTCAAGCTCCCTGCCACAGCACACAAAGCTTTCCATGACGGCTACCTGGGGGCTGCAACTTGTCTCTGCCAAGGGTGTCCTGGCTGACCCTCCAGCAATGCTGACCACACCTGCACACTTGGCTGTCTTTTCTGCCAGGGATTCTCTGACTAACTCCTACTCACCCCTCAAGACTTGGCCTGGGGTTACCTGCTCCTGAAACCCAGGCCTCCCCTGGGTTGTGGTAGACATTCTTCATCCCAGCTCTCTCTGTGCTCTGGGCCTGTCTCAATGTCTAGCTCATCATGTCCACAATCTGTTAAAGGGATTTGTGTTGTGTCTCCCTTGTCCAGGATGCATCCAGAGCTCCTGATTTCAGTTGTGTTTGTTGGCAAAGAATGAAAGCACAGAAGCCCTTTGGAAGATGAGCCATCAGGCTGTGGTGAGAGAGGCTCCCTGTCTGAAGTCTGTATCCTGACTGACCAGGGTGCCCCCGAAAGGGACAGATAGCATCCGACTGTTTAAAGCTCCAGAAGGTTCTGCAAACCACATCTGGTCTGCTAATGCTTGGGGTAAAAGTTGGCTTTTCCATTAAGGCCTTTGAACCTCAAGGCTGATGTTACACAGTTGGTTAACTGTCACTCTGCATTTAGAGTCACTGACCCCTATTTTGAGGGAGTTAAAGAATAACAGCCTCTGGGAGAAATAGAGTTTCCAGATAGATGACTTTGTTTGAGCACATTTGGAAGCATGACATTAAATCCTCTGAGAGGTTTGCCCTCATGCCCTTTTGGAAGACCTCAGATCTGGGGCTTGGTGGGGTGAGTGTGTGTGTGTGTGTGTGTGTGTGTGTATCTGGGCATGTGCACACATGTATGTGCATGAGAGAAAGAATTGGTCAGTGCCCTGTGGTATCATGGGAACATCCTCATATGAGAATCAAAGGATAACAGGTTCAAGGAAGAAACCTGCCCATAGACTTGGGTTTAGCTGGCCCTGTGTCCCACCCAACCCAGCTCTCCAGCCTCTCCCCACAAAGTTGCAGGCCTCCTCTCCTGGGATCCCTTATTCCCACTGAAGGTAGGATACAAAGTGTGAGGGCCCCAGACTTGGGGCCTGTGCACATCCTGAGATGGGAACCCAAGCCTGCACAGGGGGAAAAGTGGAACAGCTAGTCTGCAGGTTCTCAACAAGAAGGGCCCCTGTGCTCTCCAGAGCCCTCCTGAGACTGTGCCTTTTGAGACTCTCCACCATTCAAGGGGCCCTTTGAGGTTATTCAGATGAAGGAAGATCAGGAGGTCTTAAGATGCAGAAAGCAAGATGTTAGGGGAGTGGAAAGGGAGCCAGGGTGATTTCTCCTCAGGTGGGCCTGCACCAACAGCCAGTGTGGAAACAGCGTGGAGCCTGGAGTCAGGCTGGCCTGGGCTAGAGCCAGGGGTGGGAGGAGGAGGGCAACTGGGAACCTGCTACATCCAGGCTAGACTGTAAATGTCTTTGGATGGGTAACTAGTGCCAGGCACTCCTCCCTGTAACCACCCATAAAGGATGGCATGGAGCACATTTTCTTGCACACAGAAATCCTTGTACCATCAGTCTGTACCCTATCCCCATCTTCCATCCCCCAATCCCAACCTTCCAGGAGCGAAGGGGTGGAAACATTGATACTCCAGCCTCACCTGATCCAGTCTCATCATTCAGAGGGTAGGGAAATAAGACTCAATGTGCTTATGCCAAGATCAGATCTGCTTTGAGCCTGAGTTGCCTCAAGCAACTGAACGCCTCTCTTGGGGCAGGTCTCAGGTCACTTACATAGAGGCCAAAAATCATGTGCAACCAGTAGGCAAGGCATGAAGTCAAAGTCAGATCATACGCAGGACAACAAGTGCCCAGTGGAACAACCATCGGCCTGAGTTGTGGTCTAGAGCTAAGATTGGACACCACTAGCAGCAAGGAGGTGGCAGCCAGTCAACCAATAGGTTCTAGGTGGTAAGGACAAAGCAGAGAACAAAAGCACAGAAACCGTGTCCTCCTGGAGCCTACATTTCTCGCTGAGAAGTACAGGCTGGTGGCCCAACCTAAGTCTGAAGGGTTCACTGTGGCACAACGAGGCACTCAGACTCTGGGTTTGACTCCTCTTTGCCTCTTATATCTCTGTGACCTTACACAAGCCATGTACTTCTCCAGATCTCAGTTTCCTCATCTGTAAAGTGAGATTAATAAGACCAGCAGCCTCAGTGGGCTGCGGTGAGGATTTTGTCAGTTAAGTAAAGCACTAAAAACAGCATGTGACTCACAAGAAGCACGGTAAGAATTTCTTTACTACTGTCCTGGACACTCCCCTTACAAAAATGCCAGGAGTGTGCAATGCTTGCACTGCAGAGCATTTTAAAGAGGCCACCCAGGGCCTGCCAGCTTGTGTTCCATCAGTGGTGACAAATTTCTGCCTGGCCTCAGACAGGTCGCTAATTGTTCTCAGCCTCCATCCCTTTCCCCAGTCCTGGGGTGGTAGAGGAGCAGATGATGCTGGCTCACTCAGGAGGACCCAGGAGGCAATCTGAGGTCACCACCAGCAGAGTCAGAGCAGGATGTTCCAAGTTTGCCATGGAAAGAGGTGTCAAGGCTTCATCTGGCAGGGTAAGCAGGAGCTCAGGGCTTACAGAGGTTACGTATGTGCCTCTGAACATCTTGAGGGGTGGCATCTGGAACTGTTGTGTCTGATTTATTGAAACCTGTACTCAAGTTAAATCAAGGTTGGAAAGGTTAATGAATGAATGAACTACCATTTAAAAAAATATAGTCGCCTTATTTTGTTGAGGTTGGGATAGGAACAAGCAAGAAGAGGATCCAGCTCCTTCGGTCTCCGGCCTTCACTGCGAGAGGAGCCGCCGCCATGTCTGCGCATCTACAATGGATGGTCGTGCGGAACTGCCCCGGTTTCCTGATCAAGAGGAATAAGCAGACCTACAGCACGGAGCCCAATAACTTGAAGGCCCGCAACTCCTTCCGCTACAACGGTCTGATTCGCTGCAAGACTGTGGGCGTGGCGCCGGCAGCCAATGGCAAGGTGTTCTGGTGGTCATGGGTGGAGATGCGGCCAGCGGACGCCTGCCGCCTCCTGTGTGCGGACCGTTATCAACAAGAACGCCAGGTTCAGCAGCCTCAAACACATGATCTGCAAGAACAAGTACCGTCCTGACCTGCCATGACTGCCATCAGCAAGGCCAGCGCCATCCTGCGCAGCCAGAAGCCTGTGATGGTGAAGAGGACGCGGACCCGCCCCACCAAGAGCTTCTGAGTTGCCTGCCCCCAAAGCAATAATCAGCTGGCTTTGAAGAAGAAGAAGAAAAAGAAGAAGAAGAAGGAGGAGGGGGAGCGTCCAGTGTCCTGCAAAAAACTCAAGAAGACTTTTACTGTTTGCTCTGATATATCATCCCCTAGGCATAGTCAGAAATAATATGAATGTCCAGCCACTGTGAAAGCCCTTTGCAGTGTTTAGAAAATCTGTACTCTCCAGTATGGTAGCCACATGCGCCTATTGAGCACTTGAAAAGTGGCTCCTTGAGATATGCTGTATGTGTACACTCTGGATTCCTAGACTTAGTATGGCAAAAAACAATGTAAACATCTCATTAATAATTTTTATTGATTACATATTGAAATGTTAATATTTTTATATATTGGGCAAAAATAAAATGTATTACTAAAATTAATTTCATTCATTTTTCTTTTTTCATGTGGCTACTAGAAAATCTACATATGTGACTTGAATAATATTTCTATTGGATGGTGAAGTTTAAACAGAGAATGGTGCTCATGGGGTGTGCCTTTCCCAGTGGTGCCAGTTGAGCCATCACCGATTTCTTTTTGCTCAAATAGCAAAAAGACTTTACAGTGGAGAAAACCCTGGGCCAGGAGACTGCAGATCCAATTTATCACTTCACCTCAGCCATCAAGTTGCTGGATGGCTCTGGTAACAATAGTGATAGTAGCAAACACTTCTATAGTTTTTTATGTATATATGGAGGCCAGGTGCTGTTCTAAACATTTGACACATGTAAATTTCTAACTAAAACTCTATGAGATGATAGAAGCTATTATTAGCTCCATTTTCCATATATGGACACTGAGGTGTTAAGAGGTTAAATCACAAGCCCTAAGCTCACGACTGGAAATTGGTAGAACTAGGATTCAAAGCCAGGCAGTCTGGTTCCAAGGTCTGTATTGTAAACCACCTCTTACCTCAAGTAATCCAAACTCGCTTGGATTCAGTTTCTTCGTCTAAGAAACAAGGTTCAGAAGATGCCACAGGTGACCACAGGCTGTATAGACGTAAGCTGGCAGAAGCTTAGGAAAGGAAATTACATTGAAAGAGCTTCCCATCCACAAAGCTACTAAAACCCAAACCCAGTGCTTACAATAATGTCTTCCCAAATGCCTCCAAATGGAATTAACTTTTTCTCTTCTTATGCTTCATAACATTCTGATACATTACAGTCCTTCACACATCTTATCTTTCATTGCACACACACACACACACACACACACGTGTATATATATCTGTTTCCTTCATTACTATTCAGATTTTTTAAAGGCAGGCTGTCTTACAGATCAGTGCTTTTTAACTGGAGGTTAAAATTTTGCTCCCAGAGGACATTTGGTAGTGTCTGGAGAAAGTTTTGATTAACACAACTTGTGAGGTTGGAGGTATGTCGCTACTATCATCTAGTGGGCAAAGATAAAAAATGCTGCTAAGCATCCTACAATGCACAGGACAGCCCCCTACAACAAAGAATTATCTGGGCCAAAATCTGCATACTGACAAGAGTGAGAAACCTTGCAGATCATTAGATGATCCACTGTGCCTAAAACATGCATGAAACAATAGGCACTCCATAAGTGACAAAAGATTGATTGATTGATTGAAAGAATAATAAATACATATTCACCTATCTGCCCTGAATGTAACTTCCTTTTGGTTATGCTCAAGAAGTATGTATTCAATGCCCACTATATGCCAGGCACATTCTAGGGCTGGGGGATAGGGGAATGCAAAGTTCTGAGACACATGAGGCCCCTGTCCTCAGGATAGGACAGTCTCCTAGGGGAGTCAGAGTCAAAGCAGTGTGTCAAACGGTAAGTGCCCTCAACCTCGCTAGCTCTGGACAGGAGCACCACACAGAAACTTTGTGAAGACAGATGACCCAGACAATCCTGCAGATACTCATCATTTTTTCTCAATCTTTATTTTGAAAAATGTCAAACATACAGAAAATGTGGAATAATAGTACAACACACATATTTATATACATAGTAACATTTAAATAGATAGATATAGAAATATAAACACACACATAATGCTTTGGAAAATAAGATGCAGACATCATGACATCAGCCAAATACATTAGCATGCATAGGACAGACCTGCTGATTTAATCAGTCTGGAGTGGGGCCTTGGCATCAGTAGTTTAAAAAATTCTCCATTTGGGTAAGGGCCAAGATAGCCGAATGGGAACATCTCTGGTCTGCAGCTCCCAGAGAGACCAATGCAGAAGGCGGGTGATTTCTGCATTTCCAAATGAGGTACCAGTTCATCTCATGGAACTGGTTAGGCAGTGGGTGCAACCCACAGAGAGCGAGCAGAAGCAGGGTGGGACATGGCTTTACCTGGGAAGTGCAAGGAGCCGGGGGACCTCCCTCCCCCAGCCAAGGGAAGCCATGAGGGACAGTGCTACCCACCCCGGGTACTATGCTTTACCCACAGATCTTTGCAATCCACAGATTAATAGATTCCTTTGTGAACCTACACCACCAGAGCCCTGAGTTTCAAGCACAAAATTAGGTGGCTGTTCAGGCAGGCACCGAGCTAGCCACAGGAGTTTTTTCATACTCCAGTGGCGCCTAGAACCCCAGTGAGACAGGAAACCATCCACTCCCCTGGAAAGGAGCCTGAAGTTAGGGAGCCAAGTGGTCTCACTCAGCGGGTCCCACTCCAACAAAGTCCAGCAAGCCAAGAACCACTGGCTTGAAATTCTCGCTGCCAGCATAGAAGTCTGGAGTTGACCTGGGATGATGGAGCTTGGTGAGCAGAGGGGTATCCACCATCACTGAGACTTTAGTAGGCAGTTTTCTCCTGACAATGCTAAGGAGACTGGGAGGTTTCGACTGGGCAGAATTCACCACAACATGGCAAAGTGGCTGTGGCCAGACTGCTTCTCTAGATTCCTGTCACCAGGCAGGGCATCTCTACAGGAAATGCAGCAGCCCCCATCAGGGGCTTACAGATAAAACTCATCTACCTCGGCCAGAGCACCTGGGGGGAGGGGTGACTGTAGGCACTGCTTCAGCAGATTTAATCTTTCCTACCTGCTGGCTCTCAAGAGAGCAGCTGATCCTGACAAGGGAGATCCTCCCAGCACAGCACACCAGCTCTGCTAAGGGACAAACTGCCTCCTCAAGTGGGTCCCTAGCCCCCGAGCCTCCTGACTGGGAGAGACCTCCCGACAGGGGTCGACAGACACCTCATACAGGAGAGCTCCAACTGGCATCTGGCAGGTGCTCCTCTGGGAAGAAGCTTTCAGAGAAAGAAGCAGGCAGCAATCTTTGCTGTTTTGCAGCCTCCACTGGCGATACCCAGGCAAACACTGTCTGGAGTGAACCTCCAGCAAACTGCAGCAGACCTGCAGAAGAGGGGCCTGACTGTTAGAAGAAAAACTAACAAACAGAAAGCAACAACAACAACAAAAACAACAAAAAAGACCCCCACACAAAAACCCCATTCAAAGGTAATCAGCCTCAAAGATCAAAGGTAGATAAATCCAGGAAGATGAGGAAAGACCAGTGCAAAACTCTGAAAATTCCAAAAGCCAGAATGCCTCTTCTACTCCAAATGATCACAACTCCTCTCCAGCAAGGGCACAAAACTGGATGGAGAATGAGATTGACGAATTGACAGAAGTAGGCTTCAGAAGGTGGGTAATGACAAACTCCTCTTAGCTAAAGGAGCATGTTCTAATCCAAAGCACGGAAGTTAAGAAATTTGATGAAAGGTTACAGAAACGGCTGACTAGAATAACCAGTTTAGAGAGGAACATAGATGACCTGATGGAGCTGAAAAACATAGTACAAGAACCCCGTGAAGCATACCTGAGTATCAATAGCCAAATTGATCAAGTGGAAGAAAAGATATCAGAGATTGAATACCATCTTGCTGAAATAAGGCATGCAAATGAGAGTAGAGAAAAAAGAATGAAAAGGAATGAGCAAAGCCTCCAAGAAGTATGGGACTATGTGAAAAGACCAAACCTATGATTGACTGGTGTACCTGAAAGTGACAAGGAGAATGGAACCAAGTTGGAAAACACACTTCAGGATATTATTCAGCATAACTTCCCCAGCCTAGCAAGAGAGGCCAACATTCAAATACAGGAAATACAGAGAACACTACTAAGATGCTCCATAAGAAGATCAACACCAAGACACATAATTGTCAGAGTCTCCAAGGTTGAAAGGAAGGAAAAACTGTTAAAGGCAGCCAGAGAAAAAGGTCAGGTTACCTCCAAAGAGAAGCCATCAGAATAACAGTGGACTGCTCTGCAGAAACCCTACAAGCCAGAAGAGAGTGGGGGCCAGTACTCAACATTCTTAACGAAAAGAATTTTCAACCCAGAATTTCATATCCACCCAAACTAAGCTTCATGAGCGAAGGAGAAATAAAATCCTTTACAGACAAGCA